TTGGGATAATAACGCGGGCGGGCCGAAGCGGGGCCCTCTCACCTATCCACGGGCAAAGGAAGGGAACCTGTTGTAGAATGGGGTGGGTGGTGATGGGTCCCAGCTAGACAGCGATCCGCATCGCAATAATTTTATTTTAAGATTTTTCATTGCAGCGTTTCAGTTAGCGTGTCGTAGTGCACAGGGCGACGGAAAGGACAGGTGTATGGGGAGAGTTGAGGGCAGAGCCATACATCTAATCCCTGTCGCTTGAGCAGTGGTGAGCTGAATCTCTGGTTGCTCCGGTGTTGCGTGGCTTGAACCCTCCTCCCCTCCAACAAACTAAATCTGTGTGGGGCCACGTTGGACCGGAGTGTGGAACAGATCCATCGAAGGGGGGACGATGTAGGTGACGGGATGTGTCGCGCGCTGTTGTGGTTCACCACGCACGGCACTTCGGAGGGTATGATAGGTTGGGGGTGAGGTGCAGGCGGTGGATCGGGAAGGGAAGACATCACTCACCTGCCACCAAGTGCGGCGCGCGTGTGGGTGGGCCGCGAGCGCGGACGGGGGTGGGTAGGCGGTGTCGGGCGGATCCTTCCGGGGGTGCCGGTTGTGTGCGGAACGAGCACCTTTACCTACCTGCCTATTGTTTTGCAGATGAGCGTGCTGTCTTTGCGCCTGCCCCCTCCTTGTGGTGCAGAAGGGCCTCTCCAGTAGCTAACACCATTCCTCGGGGAAGATTATTAAGCAGGTCTGTGCCCGAGCACGGAGGCAGGGAGCGAGCCAGAGCATATACGCTGGTTATCTAACGCGTTCATCGCGCGTGTCGCGGTCAGGCGAGAAGTCGGTAGTAATGTATAGGGCAACCGACTCCAGTGCAGATACCTGAAAAACCGACGTGCGGCGGGACTTTCTAACGCCTCTAGGATGAGGATATTATGTTCAACATATCAACCTGCACTAATGTTCTAGGTCATGACAAGCACAATGAGATCCACTGTTCCAGACCATAAATATCATTGATGTGGAGACTTCGGAGGCTGAAACTATATCATCAATAGAACACACCCTCTCTTCAAACGCTTACTTGGGGAAACTCTTCAGAATGAACATCCGTCTGGCAGCAGGATCTTTACCGGTTTACAAACACTCGTGGGGTTGCGGGGAGATGGATGTCCTGAGGATTAATAAAAATAATTATGAAAATACAAAAAACCTCCCACTAATTACTAAAAAACCCTCTCCGCCCAACATACCACACTCGGCTTCGATTCACTGAGACGGGCTTCACGCTGACAGGCATGGCTGAGAACACCCGCCTACCTACCATCTCACAATGGGTGTGGGTGCGCCACCCTCAAAATAAAAACAGACCGTTTAGAAAGGAATAGTTCTAGGATGAGCAGAAACTTCGTGCCTTGAGTCAGGGCGGGGTGGGTTGGGGAGGGAGAGGGTGTGGGTGAAGAATGACACTGCCTTGTGAGATGGGTTGGGTAAGAAATATGGGATCGTGGGGGTGGAAAATAAACCTCGCAGCCACGAAAAGGGGAGCTCAAGTTGCGCAGGGAAAGGGGCCGGGAGGAAGGGTCGAAACTTAAAACAACAGAATGAATATAGGCCCCACTCAGCGTGGGGAAGTGATGAGCCCCGGAGTCTGCTGGTTGAGCAGGTTAGCGTGGTCTAGTCTTTCTCGGGGAGAGGGATATAAATAAATGGGGAGTTGTTGTGAAGAAGTTCATGAAGTCATTACTAGTTAATGTTAAATGGTTGATTCAACAGTGCTCTTACTTTTGTCAGCCTGGCTATAGCGCTGAAGAGAAACCTGGGGTCGTTCTTATTTTCTTCAATCAATGATGAATAGTAAGATGTTCTGGCTTTGCGGAGGGCTTTCTTATAAAGCAACAAACTATTTCTCCAGGCTAAATGATGATCTTCTAAATGTGTGACATGTCATTTCCTCTCCAGCTTACAAGTTATCTGCTTTAAGCTATGTGTTTGAGAATTATACCACGGAGTCAGGTACTTCTGATTTGAAGCTGCATTTTTCGCAGGAGCTACAGTATCCAGAGTCATACGTGGTGAGGAGGTAAAATTATTATTAACAAGATAATCGACCTCTGTTGGAGTAGCATTCAGGTAGCTGCTCTGCTCTGTGTTGGTACAGAGCATTGACGATGATAACAGTGGGTGGATTATATTCTTAAACTTAGTTACAGCGCTTTCAGAAAGACATCTACTGTGATAAAGTCTACTCTCCACTGCTGTGTAATCAATTATTGTAAATTTAAATGTAATCAGAAAATTATCCAACAAGAGTGGCTTCTCGGGAAACACTGTTAAATGTTCAGTTTCTATGCCATATGTTAAAACAAGATCTAGAGTGTGATTAAAGTGGTGGGTGGGTTCTTTTACATTTTGAGAGAAACCAATTGAGTCTAATAACAGATTAAATGCTGTGTTGAGGCTGTCATTTTTAGCATCTACATGGATGTAGATGCTAAAAGGAAGAACAGACAGAAACTCTGTGTAAGGCCCAGGTGGACGATAGATGATAACAAATAAGACTGGCTTTTGAGTTTTACAGCTGGGGTAGACAAGACTAAGCATCGGGCTTTCAAACAAATTAAAAGTCTGTCTTGGGCTTTGGCTGATTAATAGGATGGTGTGGAAAATTGCTGCCACACCTCCCCCTCAGCCTGTGCTTCGAGGTTTCTGATAGTTAGAATGACTCGGGGGTGTTGATTCATTTAAACTAATATAATCATCCTGCTCTAACCAGGTTTCTGTAAAGCACAATAAATTGATTTGTTGATCAATTATTAAGTCATGTATTAACAGAGACTTGGAAGAGAGACACCTAATGTTTAATAATCCACATTTCACTGTTTTACTCTTTGGTGCAGAAAATATTGGAGAGCAGTGAGATCTAGCTATCACCTGATGGGGCAGAGACACCAAAACGGAGTATAGGGTTTCAGTATCACTGTAAGCCTGTCATCATGAACTATCAAGTCATGCAGAGCACAGTGAGTTCACTATGCACAACACCAATTGGGTCCTACCCAGACAATACCATCTTTTTGGCATGCTTATTCCCTACACTGCTCTGGCTTAAATAAAAAAAAGTAAATGTTTAAATAAAACGTGGCTTAAACACTGGTGAAGAATCTCTGGAGCTAGAGAAGAGCGAAATGGCTCAAACCTGCCACACGACTTGCTCCAGCTGTAGCACACCTGGGAGAGTGAACTTAAACTGCTCCATGCTCTCCCTCTTCGAAGATGTTATGTGCATCCCAGACCTGTCAGACTCCACACACAGCATTCATATCTTTTCAGATGCTACAGAGAAAGCATATGGGTCCATAACATATATTATTCACTACATTACCCCTGACCCATTTTCATGTAATGCCAGTGCACTGCAGATTGGAGCTACAAGTTTAACTCTAACAGCAGATAACCACAAGCAAGGTGAACTATATCACTTCAGGAAAGTACAGAAAGACTGAAGTTTCTGTCCTCCTGTCATCGCTAGTACCAATACTACTTACCTTTACTTCTGTGTATGACCAAGAAACTCAGCTGACTGGAGTTGCACTTGGTGAAAAGGGGTGGGCAGGGGGAGGTTCCAGATCCCAAGCTGTTGAGGTAAGCTCAGTTATATCTAGCCAGTATTTCTCAGTCTCAATCACCAGCTCAGATCCCTTCCCTGCCAGTGATGGACAGATCAGAGGCACTTTAGGTTCTTTACTTCTTCCACCAGATACGTGATGTCATACTCCATGCCTCCATCATCCTGTTTGTGGGAAGGGCATGGGCCTAGGATTCTATCACAGCCCCAACAGTGGCTTTCCTTTTGAGCTGGAGTAGATGCACCAGCATCGGCTGCATAATGGCCTGGATCATTTTTTCCAAACCAATTTGAAGGCTGGCTGTAGCTCAGGAGATTTGGCAGGTCGTCCACTAATTGGAAGGTTGGCTGTTCTAGTCTGAATGCCAAAGTATCCTTGGGCAAGTGTTCGTATAACATTGTAGCCCCAGGGTGACTGTGGCTACAATGTAGCTTGCCATCACCAGTGTGTGAATGTGTGTATGAATGGGTGGATGACTGGTTGTGTAAAGCGCTTTGGGGTCCTTAGGGACTAGTAAAAGCGCTATACAAATACAGGCCATTTAAATGGGTAAATGGGATAAAACATTTTGAGTACTCCAGTAGAGTAGAAAAGAACTAATCCACTTACCATTTACAATCCAAAGGTAGATTTGTCAACCGGAGGTTGGACCACAGACCTCTGCCCCTGACCACCGCCCAACCCACAAAATAGACCAATCCCACTGCAATGTCTCCAGAAACTGCATAGTTGAATGGTGCTGTTTAGCTTTACCGTGAAGTTAAACAAACACTGCCTATCATGAGACATGCAGTCAGACCAGTCAAGTGAGGAACACTGGAACTTGTTCTTACACAAAAGGAAACACTTGAGGCATTAGTATCCTGCTCTATGGATGTAAATAGTTTCAGTTCAAGCCTCAAAGTGATGAAAAATATTGTATATGCTGATCCAGCTTTCACATTAGTATTTGTACATAATATGAGGAGGGATGGGAATGTTGTGCAACAAAAATTTAGAACCAGACACTCTGAAGTTAATAGTTTTGTTATTTTGAGTCTCTGAATGATTTTTGTTTGTTTTTTGTCTATTTGAGGTCTTTTGGTGTCTCTTTATTGTGTGTCTTTTTGACTTTTCTCTTTGTGGTCATTTTTTTTTTGGAGTTGTGTTCTGTCTGAGTCTGACTGTCTCTGTCGGATCTATTTGCAGTCATTTTGTGTTGTTTGTGTCTCTTGCCATATGAAACAAGAAACGTTAACTTCAAACACATATTTCTCACGGGCTTAGTGCTGTATATAATAATGACTTGCTTGTTGAGCAGAGTCGGTTGGTGGGCTTCACTTTTTGTCCGTCCTTCTCGGCGTTTCCTCCGCCCTCCTGGTTTATAAAAGAAGCGAGCAGCCCTCAGTCATTGGAGCTGATTCAGTCAGGTGGATTGGGGTGGCTGTGAGATGGCGGAAAGAGGCAGCGAGCAGCCGGGGTTAATCCGTCTTTGTTTTGCTGCCCCGCAGTAGAACTTCTCAGTGTCGAGTCCGGTTCGGAGACACACAGAGAATTCGCTTACGGCGCAAACATGTCCTGGAAACGAGCCAGGAGTGGAGAATCTCCGATAAGCCGACGCGCAAAAGGTAGGAGAGAGACCAGTGTCGCTCGGTGAGGGTGAGCCGGTCAGTGCTGCTCCCATGGAGCCACAGCACACAGACACCTCGCTGGGTTCATGACTGAAGCACTGATGAACTTTTTAGCCAACTTTTTGTGTGGAGCTGAGGAATTTGCTGAAGCGGTCAGATATTGTGGACTGTTGGAGTTTTCGGGTGTGAGCCAATAAAAATAATTTCTTCCCAACCCTTTCAGACGTCCCGGAGCCGCTGCAGGAGAGTGCTCCCTCCCCGACCCTGCCTGCGGATCATGTGCTCCGCTCCGGAGCGGTGTTATTCCCTGGTAGCTATTAACCCACATTTGTGTATCATGTGCCTGGTGTATTCATAAATGTTTGAAAGTGTGAGACCTAAGAGAGCTTGTGTGAAGGCTTTAGAACTCCTCCACTCCTGGTGATACTCAGTCTTTTTTAAATGTTTCATTTATTTTGGCAAAACTGGCAGCCACATGAAAATGTCCTTAACTCGGACCGGATGTCTAGGCCTCTTTCATTTTATTTTCCTTCTTCATCCCTAAAATTTGCACATAATGGGTTTATCTGGCTCTTTAGGTACTTTTGATCAACATGGTTGCCCTCTGGTTATGTTCCCAGTGGATGGGCAATACAAACTCTCCTCAGACCTCAGCAAAGCTGAAGTGGTGGACTTCATAAATTACTTTCAGTATCAGCACAAGTAGGTGGAATTCAACAAACACGTTTTTTTGCACTGTGTTTGTGTGTACAGTGATGTTTGGACTGTTTCTCTCTGACAGTAAGAAACTGGAAAAGCAGAGCATGGTGTCAGTCGTGGCTGATCTGAGGGATGCCTCACTCTCTACCATCAGTTTCATTGTCGAGACTCTACTGCTGCTTGAGGTATTGTTATGATGAAGTGGAGTGTGTGGCTACATTGTGAGACCTTTTCAAGATGATGGTTTACTTTTTTTTTTTTTTTTTTTTTTTTTACTGAAGTTCTATGCTGAAATGCTTTTAGACATGCTTTTATTACCCAGCAGGCTGCTGTTGAATTGTGATGAATATGAATTGTATTATTTACTTTTTTGTGAACAAAGTATAAACCCCAAAGTACTCTGAAGAATTTGAGTCCCAAATAATAATGAAATATTGTTTAGATGTCAGCTGTCTAACCTGTGGAAGGACAAAAATGTAGAAACCCAGAGTGAAGGTTTTCATTTAGCGATAATTTTTTACATTTGTGTTCTTGCTGTTGGGGAGTCAAATTGGAGAAAATGTTGCATGAATCTAATGCCTGAAGAATTGAAGATGAGGCAAAGGGTTTCAGAGATGTTTGCGTTTACTTAACCAATGAAGCCATTTTAAAAACTGTTGCTGCTGTGTGATTGAGTGCCGTATGAGCAACCATGTGTTTTCATTGAGGAAAGCAAAGAATAATTGTTGGTGCAAATTTTTATTTTCGTATTTTTATTTTTTTAGCTACAAAAGCGCACAGTCCACACTGTGTACATCCTTCAGCCCAAAAAAAAGGATCTTGAGAAGCTAATGCTGAAGCTGCTGGCTCCATCGAAGGATTATCCTGCTTCTTTCAAAGTGAGTATATCAAACTGTTATGCACAGACTTTGTTGAGATTTAATGTACGTGAGCAGTTCTGATCTCCTTTTATAAACATTTTGTAGAGGGTCCTTCTGAGAGAAATCCCAGAGCTCCAGAACTACATTGATCGAAGCCAGCTACCATGGTCACTGGGTGGATACCTCATGTACCGTCATCAGAGCTGGGTTGCCTTCATTAAGGTAGTGATGCTGCTTTCTGCGAGACCAGTTTCATTTAGAAAGTGTAGAAAAATCACGGTGAAGAGGATACAGAGGGTAAGGGCCTGTGGTCTTGATCACATATCTGTGGTGATATATGGGACAGAGGGAGTGGACTTTAACCAGATGGAAACAATCCCAGAGAGTAAGTGTGCCAGAGGAATGGAGGAATGTGATGTGCAGTTGATGAGCCATACAATGAAGATATGAAGGAGTTGCTGTGAACAGCAGCATGCTGAGAAAGGGTACTACAGATGTGATGTTTGCTTTGAGAATATTGATGGAGAAGTTCTGAAGGAGCTTCACTGTGTAATTGTGGATCTACACAAAGTATATGATAAGGTGCCAAGATGTGGTACTGTATTAGGAAGTTAGGAGTGTCAGAAGAGGAATGAAAATCAGATGATTAGAAACGAGTCCATCAGAGAGACGGCTGAGATGGTTTGGACATGTGCAGAGGAGGGATAGTGGGTAAATTATATAGAGGATGATGAAGATCGAACTGCCAAGCAGAAGGAAAAGAGGAAGACCTCAGAAGATTCATGGATGTAATGAGAGGGGTTGGGGTGACAGAAGACAATACTAGTGATAGAATAAAATTGATGCAGGTGACAATTGTGAGCCCAAAAGGGAGCAGCTGAAGGAAGAGAGAAACACCTGTATTAAAATGCTGCTGCTTCTCTGGGGAACAACTTGTCATGCACCAACTGTAGCACAGGTAGCTACAAATATGGAATTTAACATGAGCTTTTCTACTTGTAATGTGTGCATCTATAAAGAGGTATGAGTAAGATGAAGAAATGAATGTCTGTCCTGCCTGTTATTTAGATATATGACGATGTAGTCATGTTTCCTTTCCAGAGCTTTTGGTCATAGGAATAAGCTGGAAGAGCAGCTGAAAGTTCAGTGTTTAAGGATACTTTTTTTCTTTTTTTTTTTTTTTTTTTTTTTTTTTTAATGGGTGATTATGTTGATTGTCTGCCCCAACCAACTTTAAGCCAACCATTCTAACTAATTTGTTATATTTGTTTAACACAACCGTTAGTCTGATAGCAAGACTTAAGAATCAGTCTTGTGATTAGTCGGGGGATTTGTGTGTATGTTGAAATGTTTCTGCTCAAGTGTGACGTGAGAAACAGTCTCTCTGGTAATCCACTAATAACTAACAATAGGTCAGAATCCATTGAATATTTATTGCGAGCATAGATGCAGAGATCTGTTTGAGCAGCCAGCACCTCTTATTGGTCACCACCATGAAGCTTGTGCAAATGCCTTGCATAATGAGCTGATGATATTAGCCATTGAAAGGAGCCCTCTTTCCATTAATTATCCATTCAGTCATATTCAGCTGGGCCATGACTGTTAACTGTGGCACCTCTTTGCCTGTGGGGAAACCTATTTAGGATACTACTTGGGATACAATCCCCATAGACTGAATTGGGATTTGGTTAACTTAATCGACTGTTGACATAACTAAATCGGGAAAATGAGTAGCCTTAAACTCATGCTCACCTTAAAGCTGTCTAAAATAAACAGTAGTGAAGTCCCATATTGTGAAATCCTGTGTGCACAGATGCATTTTGATGATCTCTGACTCATGCTGCTTCCTGCAGGAGATTGATGCGTTTGTCCAGGAGTTTGTGTCTGTAGTCCAGCGGCTGCCTTCATGCATCTCTGCACTGCAGGCTCTGTCCAGGCTGCCACTGCCCACCACCGTCAGCGAGCTCCGGCAATTCTGCTTCGGCACTGAAGCCAAGTTTCAGCAGCTCAGGAGGTTAGAATTGCCCCTTCTTGGTTATGATCTTATCAAGCAGCTGCAGTCTAAAAAAAGGGTGTGGCACTTTCTTGTCTGCAATATTTTTGTCAATCAAATATTCACTGAAATATAAACCTTATAGCAGCAGGACGGCAGAGGGGGATGTGCACAGATGCTTGTTTGGTGTAACACTTGTTTTTTTCTTGTATTCATGGTATAATATTAGTACCATCAAGAGTAAATAATGTGCTCTAATTGCTAATTCGGGCCCTATACTAGGAAACTCATTCAACGTGCTGTGGGTATCTTTCTGTTATGTGAAGCGGCTTACTCTAACACTGTCGATCAGGATAAACTGTTTCAGAAAGCTGGTTATCAAGTTAACCCAGGGTTACCCCTGCACGTTCAGATGAAAGAGGTGGTGTTGGCAGCTTCTGACCAATCTAAGCGCGTTTCACAGGTAAACATTAAAGCTTACTGACCCACATGTATGATGTGATCAGGGAGTTGGGGCTGGAGGAGCTACTGAGGAACTGTGAGAACTTGGTGGGGAAGCTGCGTTGGCCTGACAGGGAGCCGTGCTTCCAGGATATGGCTGGAACTGCCCTCTTCACTCAGATGGCCTTTGATATGCTCCAGAACCATAGCAGGTACTGCAGGCAGCCAGATCTCTGTGTCAAGTCATGAAAATGGGTTCTTTATCTTAATCCACCAAAAAGTCCATACAGCAGTTTTGTAATGATCCCATTTCACATCAGCTAAAGCAAAATGCCAGTATGTTTAAGGATTATCCAAGATTAATGTGTTTTGCTACTCTAAGAAACTGTATCGGACGCTTTTAAGAGTTGATGTCGCTCACTGTGCCATTTAATTACAGGATAACTGCTGCTGTGGAAAAAGTGGAGTTGCTGTGGCAGCAGCTGTTTTCTAAAGCTCGTTTAAGGCTACGTGTGTTCCAGTTGCGTGATAATGCGCTGCAGGTGGGTCTAACAGCGAGTCCACATGTAATGGTTTCCTTTAAAAAAAATTTTAAACCTAGTGGTCTAAACCAAAACCTAAATGACCTGAGTCACTTTACTCGGGCTGTTTTGGTTTGAGCAGAGTGGGGAATGTTTGACCACAAAACTGAGTATCCACAGGACAAATGTGGCTTTATACATCTGGATAACCTTAAAATATGAACTATTTAATCATTTTCTGATTGTGAATTGTCAAGGATGCGGTTCTCATCTTTAAAAATGGCCTTGGGCGTGTAGCTAAGTACAGAACTAGATAAAAGTACAGATAATCGTGTTAGTATAAACGGCTCAGTGTTTGTGGAAAACTACTTTGAGTGACCACTTGAAGAAAATTATCAGCTCCCCCAGTAAATGGGGAACAACAACCGATCCGCAAATAAAGGCAACCGGATGTTGGGTTTTCTTGACGCTTGCTTACAGGTTTCTGAGAAGATTGAAACTCTTCTTCGAGAGAAGATCCAGCCCTTCAAAGTAGAGATTGCCAAGGACCCTACAAAAGCTGTGATTCTGGTGTCTGAATTTGAAGCATCCATCCACACTCCTGCTATGGTATGGCTTTAGCTTGCATGTTATGAATCTTACCTTGCAACATAGATCGACCTCGATTAGATTACACCACGGTTTAGTTAAATCCTAGTTGTTTGTAACATTAGTGTTGCTAACTGTGTTACGGATGCTGTTAACTTATGCTTGAAGTAAAGGTTACCTCTCACCTACCAGGCACTTGTTCGCTGGGCTGAAGATGTAATCCAGGCTTCAGCAGAGATTCCCCCCTTGGACAGTCAGCCCACAGGGAGCTGGGCTGCAGATCTGGAGAGGCTGAAGGACAAACTTGACTCTGCCGTGAACTTGATTCTGCAAACCCTCAGAGCAGTTTCCAGCTACCATCGCTACTACAGCAAGGCAAGTTGTGGAAAACTTACAGATGCAGTAATACCAAGTGCTCGTAACTGTGGCATGAACATCAGCAGCGCATTTGATTCATTGGAAGAACTTTTGTTTTGGAACCTAAGCTAACCATCAACAGCTTTTTGTCTTGCTCTTGTGAGGTAATGCTCGCCACATTAAACAAAACAACAAAAATACCTTTACTGACTGTAATCACTGACAGTAGTTTTTATTTTTTTCACTCCACATGTGCCAGACATCCTCTTTCAAATCACACTGACCTATCATCCAACTGGCTTACTAACATTTTTCTATCATCCTGTGCTGTCTAATTACAGCCGGTGTGCATTTTTAATTTCAAGGACAAATGCTTTTTAACTACTTAAAGATGATGTTGATCAAAAATTTGAGTCTAACTTTGTTATTGCCATACCTGGTTACTGTTGTCTAAAATAAATTGGCCCCACCCCCAAGAATAGCAGAAATTATGCTGTTTACCTGTTTAGGCCAGCTGCTGGTACAGTCTGGTCCTTTGCCAGAACTTCCTCCAGGAGCTCCTGTTGGGTGTTCGTGAAGAGGCTTCCTCCATCCAGCTGCAGCAGAAGAACTGGGGGATGATGCCTGGGTGGAGATGGAGGCTGTCCACTTTTCTGAAGAACAATCCCCCTCCAGAAATGGAGGAGCTGCTCCATCTGTCTCATTTGGCAAATGCAATCCCAGATGATGAGATCCAGCAGATGGGGAAACAAATGTCTCAAAGGTGATGTGATTGATTCCATTTCAACTGTTGTGTACAAAGTTGTACCTTGAGTGCAAGCAAATAAGGTGTGCGTGTGCATCAATTATCAACTTTCTTGCAGTTTTGTGCAAAAGCAAATTTGTTGAAAAGTAGCAGCTTCCTGACACATCAGACATGTCAACCACTGCCGTTACCAAATGTCATTTATGGGCTGTTAGCAGGAAGCTTGGTCATCTTCAGGAAAGCAGACTTGGTAAAAACTGAATATGTATAAGTATGTTGTCCTTTCATAAAAGATCATCCAGTGCCTACTCTTGTAGGAAGGGTAAGGAATGAAGCACTCAAGTGCAGCTCCTCATTTTGAGAATTTGACCTGCTATGATGCTATGAATCAACTTTATTTTTCAATAGTAATTTACTCAAACTTGAATGAAATATTCTAATTTGAGCTGCTGAATTTGTGATTTGCATGAGTTACAAGCCACAAAAAGAGGTGTACCAGAGATGAAATCAATTTCTATCAAAGTTTAACCTTTTAATTAAATGATGAGAAACAAACATTCATCCATTTTGTTTAGTTTTTTTATTTTTTTGTTGACACTTGAGTGACTTTTTGAAAGATGAAATGTCTTCACTTGGACTCAGAATTGCCAAAATGAGTCTTTGCTGGGTAAAATATCACATCTATAAGTTGTGTCCGTTGTGTGATCTCTATTTTTATCTTCAGTTGAACAACTGATTCAGCAATCAAATGCAAGTTTGGCAGATGATGGCAATTTAAATGGTTTTACTCCAGTGTTGTTGTCGTCGTCTGTATTCATTGGTCCACTGGATTCTTTATTTATTCATGCTGTCACTGAATCATATAATTTATTTTCTCCTTTAGCAGATGGAGTAATATTTGGAATAGATTTAATCAGCTGATCAGCGTTTGTAGCTTATGGCTGCTCAATTAGTTTTGATCTCATCACCCATTCATCCCAAATATTCAGTATGTCAAATAACATTTGACAGTTTGGCTGAGCAGCCAGCCACACCAGTTTACCACATTAATTTTTTTTTTTTTCTGGTGCCATTATTTAATTTTCTATTTATTTATTTTTTATTCGTCAGGTGCTTGACACTGAGGAAACTTCTAAGCTCTTCAGGACCAGTGGCTGTCGAACAACTCCAGATGGCCCTACAGTGGCAGTATGAGTTACTGAGGGGCAACCATGTGAATCTCTTATCTGCTGATTCTACCACGTCAAAACCTGTGCCACACCAAGTTTCAGAGTCAAACCTCGCTAAATGTAAAGGTGGTAAAGAAGCTGCCCATGTCTTTGGAACATCTCCCTTGTCCGGAGGTTCAGGGTCGGTGTCAGCTACGGGCAAACCGTCCTCCCCGTTTGCTGCAACCAGAGACTTTGCAATACCTGCCTCAAGCCCGCCTCAAATCCATGACATTATTTCCAGTGTTTCAGATTGTAGGGCTCACAGAGAGGAGCATGACTTGGGCTCTATAGGAAGCTCTCCTAAAGCTGATTTGCTGAATCAGTTTGAGATCAAAGTAAAGCGCATAGCTGCTGTGTCCAGTAACCCTTGGCTTAGCTTGCCGGTAGAGGATTTGGAAAACTCTTACACTGTCAGCAGTACACAAAATCCAGCACCTCAAAAAGTTGATCACGATTCTTCAGATGAGCATGTCAATGGCACCCAGGCTAGCAGGTCTCAAATTCAGCCTACACCGGAGGTTTTAAGGAGCACAGAACCCAGAGGATCACAGAGCAGGGACTGGATATTACATCCACAAAGTTGTGTGGAACATCCTGAACTAAGTCCCATTTGCAGTGTTCTCTCCAGCACAGTTATTGAAGGAAAAGACAAGTCCATCTGTTCCACAGAGGGGGTTCCCACTCTACTCTGGGATTCTTATGACCTCCATGACCAAAATGAAGATGATGATGACGATGATGGGTAATTTGTTTGGCTTCAAATGTCGATCAGTATGTTGCTTCTCCTACAGTGTGCAATTCTCAAAGAAATTTCAGCAGTGGTATTGAATTTTCAGTTGTTACACAGATCCTACACGAGTAATCTTTTTTTAATTTATATTTTTTATTGTTGGTCACAAGTGACAAAATAATTAGATTAGTCACATAAGGGGACTCTGATTTATTGCAATTTATGATGAGGACTGATCAGGCATGATCACCTGCCAAACTGCATTCTGAACCAGTAAAATCCCTCCAGTGGCACCTACTGTTACATTTCATCATAACATACAGACGCTGTATTGTCTACTTTGATTCCTTATGGCAGCAAATTAATGAGGGTAAGATGAAAGCGTTGAAGGAAGGATGGTAAACTGGGAAAAGGCAAATTGAAGAATTGCCTAATGCCTTATTTTATTTCCCCTCGCAACTTTTCAGCGAGTTGTCCATGAAGGACTGGGATGTGAAGGAAGAGGAAGGTCTGAGGGAAGTGGAGAATATCTTGGACAAGGCTGATGAAATATTAGAGGTGAGAGGGGGATCGTTTGAGAAATGAAGACAGTGCTGGTTGTTGTGACTTCTGGACAGAACGGATTCCCTTTCAGTCGATTCACTCGGTACAACGCATAAGTATGTGATATCACGCCCTCGCGTGTCCAGTGTACCGAGTGAATCGACTGAAAGGGAACAGAAGTTATAGACATAACTATTCGTTTTTATTTTGCAGGAGGAGGAAAATGTTCTGGCTCAGGAAGCTGTGCTAGATGCACTGCTGAGGACAGAGGACAGGCAGGGTGTCTGGCGATTGTGTGATGGTGAGGACCAGCTTGATACGGTGGGTGAAGCATCTAGCAGATCAGTTCTTTGTTACAGATTCTATTAATTTTCGATATCGGTTTATTTCAGTTACTCTATGCCTCTATGGCACGGAATAAGAGGTAAGTTACACAAGGCACAGGTCCAGGGATGTCTTTGGACTGTAAGAGGAAGATGGACAAAATGTGAAACTGATGTGTGGTTTATAAACTATTGGGGGAAACCTGGTCTTGTTAGGAGAGACAGGATTTATCCCACTTTGGGAGCAACTCTCCTTTCTGGGAAATCTGGCCAAATTTATTAAACGATCCAAACGGGAACCCAAGTTGCCGTCTTACACGCCTCTCTGCAGCGTCTCCTCTTCTGTCATTCCCACAGACCGTCTACATTCAGATGATCAAAACACACTTGCAGTTTGTTTTTTAGGATTTTATATCAAAGGACTAAATAAGATCCTCTGAAAAAGAGCAGAGTTTATTGAACAGTCATGCAAAAACAAAGGAGCACATAACTACACACAGAATAACGAGACAAAGCAACCCTAGGGTTTAGAGCCTTAAGCATATGCACACGTAGCAGAAAGCTAGAGAAAAAGACAGAAAAAAGAGTGACAGACTAAAGTAAGAACTCCTGGATCCTCTTTAGGGTGAGGAGCCTCTGACTACTCCTCTATGAAGTATAACCCATGAGTTGTACAGCTTTCAGGGTATTCTTTTCAGATTTATATTTATACTCTCCTTTTTGACAGATCTGTTATGCCAGCCTTTTATAGTAAGAAGTAATTAATCTACTTGATATTTTTATTACCCAAAAATAAAAAATTATTTCAGTAATTATTGGTTTTCTCCAACTTCAGCCATGATTCATAGTAATCACCAGGTGGACCCCTGGATTTTTAACCATTAGAGGAAAATTTAATTGGTCATTCCCAGATGTCATGAAGTACAAGGACTTTGGAAACTGCTGTATAGTCAGCTCAATTATTGACTCAACTTCAATAATTTTATTTCCTATGATTTGCATTTTCCATTCTTTCACATACAGTGTAATATTACTTTGTCATGGCATGTATTTAGTTGGCAGGTAACGGTAAATAATTTTGCTCTTCACCAAGAAGATTGTCCGGCCATCAGTTTACGCCCTGAAGTTAAAGTGCTTTGGTTAAATGATCTGAATTTGTCTGGCAAATCTATGTCTGCAAGTCAAGTCGGCTTTATTTATATAGCACATTTAAAGGACCTCAAGTGTCGGCCAAAAATGAATGAATAAATAGGCTTTTCTCATAAAACAAAATTCCCCAGTAACATGAAAGACTCTGTGCCAGTTCTCCTAAACACTTTACTGCAGTTGTTACAGCCAGTGGCACAATGATTATTAGGTATGTGAGGCAAATACTTTTTTACACAGAGCCAGGTGGACAACTGTCATCTTTTGTAGCCTGATTGTATTGAGCTTGTTTCAAGTAGTGAAACAAGCTTGTTTCAAGTAGTGAAACAAGCTTGTTTCAAGTAGTGAAACAAGCTTGTTTCAAGTAGTGAAACAAGCTTGTTTCCAGTTTTGGCTAAAATATTTTTCTTATGTAATTTGCAAAGTACTGTGCTATGTTGAAATGGCTAAACCCTCATCATCAGAGGCTGACAGACATGCTGGGGTTTGTCTTATAAAATGTCTGACTCAAATAGATGTTGATTCAAATAACTTTTCTTATTAAATACAAATGTCAGTAATCTTTAGCTTGTTAATGTCTAACTCACTCCTTATAATTATTGTGCTGATGGTTGTTCTGAAAATAATTCCAGAATTGAGTAGATATAGCCCCTGTTAAGGCCTGATATCAATCTGAGTCTTACCCGTTCAAACCTTTAACCCATGTTTAATTTACTACTGGTTCCAAAAAATGGGTAGATGATGGCCAGAATGGGGAAAAACTCAGTTTGCCTGAAGGGAAGCCTACAAACCAGTGGGTAATGTGACAGTAGGTTTGTCAGCTTGTTTTATAGTCCCTTGGTATTCACTATATTTTTTCCTTCTTATTCTTTTAAGATGTCGTCCTACGAGCTGGCTGAAGCTGGTGTTCTTTGTTTCGATGACTGCGTTGACTCTGCAGAATCTGACTGTTTCATTGACCTCGTGTCGGCTGGGTCTGCACGTGAAGCTAATGCGGATGGGCTTTACAGTGAAGCTCCAACGGTATCTGACAGCAAGCCAGACCTGCTGATGGAACTGAGAAAGGTTCATATCCTGGACGGGTTAATCATGGAAGAGAACTTGCAGATCAACAAGTTTCGATGCAGTAAAGAGAAACTCCACACTGAGCTCTCGGAGAGCAAACCTGTGGGTACAAATGTGTTACTGACTTCACGCAATGAGAGGGAGGCTTCACATTTGCAGCTGGAAAAGGAGAAGAGGGAGGTGGAGGAGCTGGAGAAACAGAATGAGGATATTGATGAAGGGTTTAAAAAATGTTCTATAACTGAAAGGCCTAGAAAAGATCATGATGATCGAGTGCTCTGTGATCTCTTTCCCAATGGTTCTGGAAGATCAGTCGCCAGCCTTGCCATGGATGGGTCTGTGAATACACGTGTGACTAAAATTATTCAAGATGTTTCAGACCTTAAGGTAACCAAAGGGGCTTCACCACAAGATGTGGCTCAACTGCCACTTTCCCAGTGTCAAGATGCTAGTGGTTGTACAACTGGTCTGTCAGTATATTACAAAATTACCTTGAACAATGTATTTGATTTACAGGAACCCTCAGAAGAGGCAGGTGTCCAATCGCAATACATCGATGGGAATGAATTGGCCAGGTCTGCTAGTTTATGCAGTCCAGAAGCATCTTTAATCCCTGAAATGAGGGTAGATGATGGCACCTTTGACCCAGGTGGAAAATCACTCCTTCCCCCTGTAGCTAAGCCAAGAAAGTCTTTGCTTCCTGTGAATGAAGCCCGTGCTGAACTCGAAGCTCCTCACTCCACAGAGGAGTCCTTAGATCATTATTTTGTAGGTGAAGGCCAACTTCCTCTACAAAATGAAGTACTTGAAGAGCTGCCAGAGAATGTGCCTCCAGACACCAGCCACAGCTTGGTTTCCAGTCCAAATGTAACACAACATGAAAACGATAACCATGTACCCCCAGAGAACTGTTGGGCATCATTACAGTGCTCGTCTGCAATAATGACTAAAAATGAAAAGATGCCCACATCTTTACTCAAACTACATGTGCAGTCAGCAGAGGAAATCCACACTTCACCTCCTGCAGATGACCACCAACTCGAACAGTCTGTATCCCAAGTGACTGCTGATCAGCCTCTAGAGTTTGACTCGGGTGGAAGAGACGAACCAAATGAAAAGCTACTAGATGGCGTTCAGAGCTCTGAGGCTCTGAGAATCTCTGGGTCACCTGAAAGTCAGATCCAGTTTTATAGCCCCATGACGGAGGTACGTGGGCACATCCTACTTCAGCTGTCACCTTTTTGTCTTCATTTAGAACATCAAGTATATCTCGTATTTAAAAGCCTAACATCAACATTAGTTTTTAGTTCTTATGAAAGCTTTCTCCCAACCCCAGGCTTTTAAATTGCTGTGTGCCATGTGTAACTGAGCGCACATACTTTGAATGTATGACTAAAATGTGGCTTATAGACTAAAGCGCTGGCCAGACTTGAAAACAAATCAAGTTGTAGTCACAATATAAACTTAAAAGATCATTTCAGTGCTTTTGAACCTCTGGAATTTTATTATTATTATTTTTTTTTTTTTATAAAAAAAGAGGGGGGAAAAAAAAAAAAAAAGCTTGTGTCTGTATCTCTAGATTGCAGATTTCAAGAGTCCAATTGTACTGGATTCAGGCTCTGGTTTGATAAAGGCAGGATTTGCAGATCAAGACCTACCAAGCATTATATTCCCCACAATAATTGGGGTGCCAAAGTATGAGGTAAGTGCATTCGTTGTTAGAAGCTTTGATTTTAACTCGTGTCCCTTAGGTTGGCCCCTACATGTTTAAACATATTCGTGGAGTGTTTCTTTTCAAAATATTTTCAGTAAATGTATTCTATAAATTGCCTTTGTCTTTGCATCCTTTGTCTGTTCATTACAGCAGCCTCATGTGTGTTTATAGTTGGTTGGCATCTGCCTACAGCTACTTTGAGCTGTAAGGAAAACTATGGGGATTTAAAGTGTGGGTATAAATATACTTTTTTTTTTTTTTTTTTTTTTTTGTGTCCTGTCTTTGCAGGAAGTACTGAATGGTAACCTTGAAAGAGAGGCCTACATTGGTCATGCTGCAGAACACATGAGAGGGGTTCTGACTCTGAAGCACCCCATAAAGAATGGAATCATTCACAACTGGGATGAAATGGAAAAGGTGAGACTCATGTTTGCATAACAACTAGAAAATGAAAAACTCATGTCGGAATCATTCCCCTTTAGCACTTAAATGTTACGTATATTGATGTGTCGCTTGGAACTCGATTACGGACTACAGGTTACAGCTGTTCCACAGACCCAGCTGGCTGAAGATGTTGGATGTCTTTTCCAGCAATATGAGGCTTTGAAAGAGGCACGACCCAAAGCCTTTTTGTTTGTAGTACTTGACATGTGAGGAAAATGTGTACATTCAGTTTAAAAACATGTTATTGTGGTTCCTGCTGTGCATATATCCATAAATGGACTAGAAAACTTTACACTTAATATGCTGTTTTATTTTGCTACTGCACTGGTTTTAATATTTTTACCCCTAAGCCATAAAAGGCTGAGGGGGTATTGTTGTCATCGTGTCAGGCCTGCGGGTGGCGTGTACACCCAGCTTTGTGAACACAGTAACCTGAGAATGAGGTGCAGCTGGTAGGAGGCTGAGCAGTAGCGATGGTGGCCGTCAGTATTTTTATCTGCTGTGTTAAACAAAGCGAGTTTACACGTAATAATGAAATGTGCTGTATAAATAAAATTGCTATTGGCATGTGGGAGAGTCTGTACAGCCTTAAAGGCTGCAAAAGTTTCATTTTATACTTGATCGTTACAGGTACATTTGCTCATCTATCATACAGTCTCTGCTGCTTGAAACTTGCTGGGATAGTGGAAAGGCACAAATGGTTTTCTTATGTTCAAGTCTCAAATATAACAAATCCGTTCAGCAAATACCCTGGTTTTATCCCATCATTGGTCACACAGTGTATATGTGTTGATGCTGTCAAAAGCCCCACTTCACAGGCAGGAATATGTTCCTGAGGCTTAGAGGGCAGCTGCAGACCTATTTGTCCCTGTGGATTAGTCTAGTTTGAATGTCTGTGTTTTGAGAACTCACCCACTTTGCAACTTCCCCACCCATTAACATGCTTCCCTCAAGAGAAATAAAGTATTGGTGGTTGTCCACAAGCTCATTTACTCTTGGTGCTTGACTTTTTGTCTCTTAGATCTGGCATCATACGTTCCAGCAGCTGCGTGTGGAACCAGAAGATCACCCGGTTCTTTTGACTGAAGCGGCCATGAACCCTTTGAAGAATCGGCAGCACGCGGTTGAGATCATGTTTGAGTGTTTCAACGTGCCTTTCACCTATGTAGCCATGCAAGCAGTGCTAGCGCTCTACGCAGCGGGAAGAACCACTGGTACTGTAGTCGCTCGTCATCACGCACTGATTGATGCACACGGATGATGGCTTGTCTGAAGACTTTGTTCAGCTTGGTGTATTTAAACCACTCAAATCTGATCCTATGATCCTACTTGTGCCTATTTGATATAGGTGTGGTGTTTGACTCTGGGGATGGAGTGAGTCACAGTGTGCCTGTTTTTGAGGGATACTGTCTACCTCATGCTGTGCAACGCTTTCCCCTGGCTGGATTAGATGTTACACTGAATCTTAAAAAGGTATTTAGCACTTCTGTTAATGCTCCAGTGTAGGAGCTATGTTATTGATTGCTTGGAAGGCATAATCCCTGGATGGTTCCTAACTTAGTTTAAAGACTAGGCAAAACCAGCTTGCTGTGCTTGTTCTTTAAGCTTCTCCGGGAACAGGGAGTGTGCATGCGTACCACAGCAGAGGAGGAGATAGTGAGGGAGATGAAGGAGAAGTGCTGCTGTGTCTCTCTCAACTATGAAGATGAGCTAAATCGGGGGCAGTCATCCTGCAGAGAGATGCATTACACCATGCCAGATGGGCAGATTATTACCCTCAGCACAGAGAGGTTCAGGTAATGTTGGGGGGCTGCTTCCTGCTTTTTACCAACACTTAAGTTTTAGAAATGATCTTGTGGTCACCTTGCTTGTTGTATAGCACAGACTCTTTAGCAGAGTGTACCCCCTGTTTATCTAGGGCACCTGAGATTCTGTTCAAACCTGAGCTGATTGGACGGGACCATTATGGGATGCACGAAAGCATCTACAGGTCAATCCTCAGCACAGACATTGACCTGAGGCGCTGCTTCCTGGGAAACATTGTACTTTCAGGTAACATTTGGTTCTTGGTAAGGTGTTGCACTACAATCTGAAGTACAATGGTTTTCCAAATTCTGCTTCCATTTGTTTTGTCCTCTCTTCCTGAAGGTGGGAACACTCTGCTGCCCGGCCTGCCTGAGCGACTGCAGGATGAAATCAAAGGCCTGCTGCCCTCAGACATGGGGGGCAGTGTTTGTGTAACCAGCCCCAAAGATAGAGACTCCTCAGTGTGGAGAGGAGGAGCAGTGTTGGCAAATATGCCTACCTTTACCTCTGCATGGATCAGTCAGGACGAATACGAGGAGTATGGACCGCAGATAGTCTTCAGGAAGTGCTTCTGAATCGACTGAAAGGTTGATGGCTCATTTCATCAACAGTGCTGCTGGCTGCTGAGCCAGCGGGACTCAGCTGTTGTCCCTCTCTGTGGAATCTTTTGTTTTTCTTAATTTTCTCTCCCCTGTTCTTTAGTGGAGGTTTCCTGCTTACACCTTATGCACTTCCTATACAGCCCACTAACACGGCAATAAGGAAGTTGATCAAAACGTTCCAATCATTACTATTGTCGTTGCTATCACTATAAAACCTCTAAGTGTGTCTTAAATTCTAAATTTCTGTGTCCCAAGAACTTAAGCCTAAATATATTCATGTTCTGTGATTAAGGGGCTGAAACTGAAGCTGCCCTTTAATTCATGTCTTTCTTTGTTTCCAGAATATGCAATTGAGAAACATGAAGAAATTTTGATGTGTCAGCTTTAAATTGTGCATTAATCTGATATTGTCAAAAACCTTATTTATTGTTTTTGCTTTTATGTGAAACATGATACTTGCTTTTACACATGGTAGTCCAGCTGTAATCTGCTGTGGTTCTTTATGCACTGAATGTTGAGTATTAAGGGCTCTGCAGAATTTATTCTTAAAAAATCTTCTGCAATAATGGATTTGTCACAATGCAACTTTCAGTGATTCCTTTAGTTAATACCACATTTTCGTTGTAATATGACTCAGATTGTCATCATAACACATGACAGAATATATTTGTTTTTAATTTATTTTTCTGTGCAGAATCCCTTGAATGGAGTGGCTCCTAATACTCATCAGATGGGTGCATTGTACATGAGTTTTTCCTGAGGTCATTGTTGGTTCTTCTCAGACCTCGTTGCACGTGTTGCTCTGGTACATTGTGAACTCTGTATAATTTTTCAGTGTGGAGGTTGTTTTTTGTTTTGTTTTTTTTGTGTGTAGGGGACCATTGTGTGTTTTACATGCATTCTTGCACAAGTTATCCTTTTTGTGGACTCTGTTCCAGTGATGCCAAACTGCTCAATTCCTGTTAAATTCTGAAGTAAAACAAACAGTGGCAGCCCATGCTGTTAGACTTGGTGAACATTTAAAGATTTTTTTATTATTTATTCTGTGCATGAAATTCAGTTGCATGAGTTTGAATTCCATGTGTGTGTCTGTGTTGTTTTGGACTTGTGTGTGTACTTTGCATGAATTTTGTATTTTTAAGTGTCTGTCTAAAAGCAGAGGGTTCGTCATGTGGCCTAGAGCTCTGCTCTTATGGGGAAATTACTGAGCGGTGACAGCAGGAGCTGCCGTTTCAGGCAAGTTTGAAGTGAACAGGCTCATGGATTGTGTGGTTCTTCTAATTGTAGTTAAAAGGCTGGGCCAAGTCCAGCAGTGTTTTTCCTGAACCATGTCAATTTTTTTTTTAAATAAATATTGTAATCATCATCCTGCTGTGCTGACTTTGTTTCAGTTGTAGACGTCTCTGAATGTTGAGGCTAAAACGGAAATGGATCTGCTTTTTCATATTTGCCTAAATGTAACCAGTGTGTTCCTGTGTTGTATGATAATCAAAGGTAAGGAAAGTTTATTTATATAGCACAATTCAACAACACGGTGATTCAAAGTGCTTTAGGAAAAAAAAAAAAAAAGGAACAGTAGATAAAATCAGTAGTTAAAATGTAAGTTTTAAGATTTAAGCTTAAAAGTAAAGTGGATTTGGTGCTTTATTCAAATGCAGCTGAGAACAGGTGAGTCTTCAACCTGGATTTAAATAAACTGAGTGTTTCAGCTGATCTGAGGCTTTCTGGGAGTTTGTTCCAGATATAGGAGCATAAAAGCTGAATGCAGCTTCTCCGTGTCTGGTTCTGACTCTGGGAACTGATAAAAGAACGGATCCAGATGACCTGAGGGATCTGGAAGGTTCATACTGCAAGCCTACTAAAGATGAATGCATGGACTAGTTTTTCCAGGTCCTGTTGAGACATCAGATCTTTTATCCTTGAAATATTCTTGAGGTGATAGTAAGCTGATTTGTTATTGTCTTAATGTGTTTTTCTAAGTTTAGGTCTGCATCCATCACTACACCCAAATTTCTCGCCTGGTTTGTGGTTTTTAGATGTATAGATTGAAGTTCTCTGGTGACCTGTAATCGTTTTTCTTTGGCGCCAAAGACTTTCTCGTTTGTTTAGCTAAAATTGTGGCACAACCAGTCATTAATTTCCTCAATGCATTTACCAAGAGCCTGTACAGGGCCTCATTGTATATATTTGTGTGTCATCTGCATAGCTATGATAGTTTATTTTGTTGTTCTTTATAATCTGTGCCAGTGGGAGCATGTAAATGTTAAACAGAAGGGGTCCCAAGATGGAACCTTGGGGAACTCCACATGTGATACTTGTCTGCTCAGATGTGAAGTTACCTATTGATACAAAGTATTTCCTGTTTTCTAAGTATGTTTTGAACCAGTTTAGTACAGTTCCTGAAAGACCTGTCCAGTTCTCCAGTCGTTTGAGTAATATGTTGTGGTCAACTGTATCAAATGCTGCACTGAGATCCAGTAAAACTAAGACTGACATTTTTCCACTGTCTGTATTCAGACATATGTCATTAAACACTTTGGTCAGAGCGGTTTCAGTGCTGTGGTTCTGTCTAAAACTGACTGGGAGGCATCATAGCAGTTATTCTGTTTTAAGAAGTAATTGAGTTGTTGAGAAACTTTTTTTTCAATGTTCTTACTTAAAAATGAAAGATTTGAGATCGGCCTGTAGTTGTTCATTTGTGTCTTGTCAAGATTGTCCTTTTTCAGTAGAGGATTAATTTCAGTTTTGCTTTGTTTTTTTTTGTTTTTTTTGTTGTTTTGTTTTTTTTAGTGGTTCTGGAAACACACCTGACATTAAAGAAAGGTTGACGATCTGTTGACTCCAAAGTCTTTGAGACCTCTTTGGAAAAAATCTTTTGGCAGGACATCTAAGCAGCAGGAGGAAGAGTTCAGTTGACGTTAAATTTCCTCCAGGTCCTTGCTGTTAATAGGGTGAAACTGTTTTATGGTGTTTAAACAGTTTTTCGGTGGACACAGTACATATCCTGAATCTGCTGTGATGTACCGATTACTTGTCTAATCTTTTGAATTTTGTCTGTGAAGAATTTGGCAAAGTCATTGCAGGCCAAGTTTGAATGAAGTTCAGCTGCCACTGACACAGGAGGGTTTGTTAGCCTGTCAGCTGTTGCAAATAAGACCCGAGCATTATGACTGGTTTTGGTGACTATGTCAGAAGTAGGACCTCCTTGCACTCCTCAGTTGTAAAATATAATTGAAGTTTCTCTTTATAGATGTCATAATGAACCTGGGGTTTTATTTTTCTCCAAACAGTTCGGGGTTTAGAACACATTTTGTGTAATTACAACAATATGTAACTTATGACCTGGTTGCATAAAGAAAACAGACACATGCATGGCCTTTTGCCACGTTCTATGGGAACTGCAGAAGACTGTGTCTTAACACCGATACTTGAGATTTCATCTATGGACTAAAGCATTGTTTAACTGTAGCGCACTCTAGTGGACAAATTTGCACCGTTACTATGGCAACTGCTTATCAACAATCCACCGTAGGTCCGGCGGTAGAAATGTCTCAGGCTGGTGCGGAAACCCTGCTTAAAACCGTAATCGGGCACATTGTGCACGAGTGCAGGCTGAGGGGACATGCGGTGTCGGAGACGCTGGCAGCTTTTATGGTCAGTAAAACGAAGTAAGCACTTAGTCGTTAAGCTAACGCTGCTGCACACGTTCACAATGTTTTCAAACATCCACAGGTGTCTGCTGTGGTGCTGGACCCAAGAAATGGCTTTAATGTTGACAGGACCCTTACTAAAGATGATGTTCAAAAACTCGAAGAGGTGAGCTGCTTTATTTCTTTTTCTAATTGGTGTTAGTGGTTCTGAAAATCACTGTGTATGTTTGAGTCGAAATTCTGTTCTGTTACAAAATTAGGAGGTAGAAAGGGGCTTCCGATGATGCACTGCATTTCTTCTCCATTTAGTGAGGTTATGGGAGAAAGGCCAAGAGTCAGACGTTTCCATTTAACAGGAGGCAACTTCAAACAGGGAGTGGCAGCTGCGCTCTCCTCTTCTGAGTCCTGATTTTTTAGATTCTGTTTTTTTGTGGCTATTTCATTTACTTCTGTAGTTTCTGTTTTGTTCCCTTGTCTTTGATTTCTCTTTATGACTATTATTCTTGCTCAATAATGACAGTAAAGCCCATTTTTATTAACATATATTACACTTGTTACTGCTGAATCTGAGTTCACCCCTTCTTCTTTTGGTGTAAGACTAACACAAGCAATGATGGTAATCTATTGAGTTCAATTCATTTTTATTCATACAGCATCAAATCACAACAACAGTCGCCTCACGATGCCTTATATTGTAAGGTAGCCCCTACAATAACACATACAGAGAAAAACCCAACAATCATATGATCCCCTATGAGCAAGCACTTTGGCGACAGCAGGAAGGAAAAATTCCCTTTAGCAGGAAGAAACCTCCAGCAGAACCAGGCTCAGGGAGGGGCGGGGCCATCTGCTGCAACCGGTTGGGGTGAGAGAAGGAAGACAGGATAAAGACATGCTGTGGAAGAGAGACAGAGATTAATAACAAGTATGATTCAATGCAGAGAGGTCTATTAACACAGTGAGTGAGAAAGGTGACTGAAGAAGAAATACTCAATGCATCATGGGAATCCCCCAGCAGCCTACACCTATTGCAGCATAACTAAGGGAGGATTCAGGGTCACCTGGTCCAGCCCTAACTATATGCTTTAGCAAAAAGGAAAGTTTTAAGCCTAATCTTAAAAGTAGAGATAGTGTCTGTCTCCCGAATCCAAACTGGAAGCTGGTTCCACAGAAGAGGGGCCTGAAAACTGAAGGCTCTCCCTCCCATTCTACTTTTAAATACTCTAGGAACAACAAGTAGGCCTGCAGAGCGAGAGCGAAGTGCTCTAATAGGGTGATATGGTACTACAAGGTCATTAAGATAAGATGGGGCCTGATTATTTAAGACCTTGTATGTGAGGAGCAGGATCTTGAATTCAATTCTGGATTTAACAGGGAGCCAGTGAAGCGAAGCCAATACAGGAGAAATATGCTCTCTCTTTCTAGTCCCTGTCAGTACTCTTGCTGCAGCATTTTGGATTAACTGAAGGCTTTTCAGCAAGTTTTAGGACATGCTGATAATAATGAATTACAGTAGTCCAGGCTAGAAGTAATAAATTCATCAACTAGTTTTTCAGCGCCACTATGAGACAGGATATTTCTAATTTTAGAGATGTTGTGCAAATTGAAGAAAGCAGTCCTACAGATCTGTTTAATATGTGCGTTGAAGGACATATCCTGGTCAAAAATGACTCCACGGTTCCTCAGTGTTACTGGAGGCCAAGGTAATGCCATCCAGAGTAAGAATCTGGTTAGATACCATATTTCTAAGATTTTCAGGGCCGAGAACAATAACCTCAGTTTGATCTGAATTAAGAAGCAGAAAATTAGTGGCCATCCAGGTCTTTATGTCTTTAAGACATTCCTGCAGTTTAACTAATTGGTGTGTGTTATCTGGCTTCATGGATAGATAAAGTTGTGTGTCATCAGCATAGCAGTGAAAATGTCTCCCTCTGCAACATGTCTTCCAGCTGTGTCTGGATAAACTCACAGAAAAGTGCAGCCCATCCCTTGACACTATCAAAATGCAGGTGTGCTTTGACATGAATTATACCACGAAATGTAAGTATAACCTCATTCAGATTTTATGTGGCACCAATACATGTATGCAATGTATGCAAAGCTTGCTAGAGGTTGTTCAATTTTTTTTTTAGGTTTATTTTGCTATACAATATCTGTCTAGTCGTCTACAAATGCCAATGACCAATTATTAGCATCCATCTAGTTTCATCTACTTATCTGGGTTCGGGTTGCAGAGGCAGCAGTCTAAGCAGAGAAGCTCAGCCCTAACTCTCACCAGCTACTTTTTCAAGCTTATCCAGGTTACATAATCTTTTCAGCGTATCATTGGTCTACCCATGGTCTCCTCCTAGTGGGACATGCCTGGAACACCTCACCAAGGAGGCATCCTAGCCAGACACCTGACCCACCTCAGCTGGCTAGTTTCGTTGTGGAGGAGTAGTAACTCTACTCTGAGGCCCTCTCAAATGACTTAACTCCTGTTTCTAAGGGAGAGGCCAGCCACCCCTTGAAGAAAGCTTATTCCTGTCGCTTGTACAGTGGGGCAAAAAAGTATTTAGTCAGCCACCGATTGTGCAAGTTCCCCCACTTAAAATGATGACAGAGGTCAGTAATTTGCACCAGAGGTACAGCAGACCCCAGACCCCACCCACCCCCCCCCCCCCCCCAGACCCCCATACAGCCCAGCCCCCAGCCCCAGAACCCCCCCCCCAACCCAGAGCCCCCCCCCCTCGCCCACCCAGACCCCCAGACCCCCCCCCCATAACCCTCCCCAGACGCCCAGAGAAGCCCCAACCCCCCACCAACCAGGCCAGCCCTCCAGACACCCCCCAGACCAGACCCCCAGACCCCAGCAGCCCAGAAGACGCACCACCCCCAGCCACCAGCCCCCAGCAGAACCAGCCCACAGCCCCCCCCCCCCCAGACCCCCAGCCTCCCCCAGACCCCAGCACCCCCCCCCAGCCCCAGACCCCCCCCCAGACCCCCCCCAACCCACAGACAGCCCAGAGAAACCCAGACAGAAGCCAGAAACCCCTAGGCACCCCCGACAGACCCCCCCCCCAGCCCACCAGCACAGACAGCCCCCCCAGAGCCCCCCCCCTCCCCCAGCCCCCAACCCCCCCAGCAGACAGACACAGACCCCGACACAGACCCCCAGACCCCCCAGACAAGACAGAAGACCCAGACCCCCCCCCAAGCCCCCAGACCCCCCCAGAGACCCCCCCCAGACCCAGCCCCCCCCAGACAGCCACCTCCCCCCCCCAGACCCCCCAGCCCCCCCCCCCCAGCAGAGACAGCAGACCCCCACCTCCACACTCCCCCAGACACCCACCCCCCCCCCCCACCAGCCTACCCCCCCCCTCCAGACCCCCCCCCCCAGACCCCCAGCACCACCCCTCCCCCCCCCCCCCCCCCCCCGACAACCCCCAGACCACCCCAGACCCACACAGCCCCATACATACCCCCCCCCCCCGCCCCCCCACCCCCCCCCCCCCCCCCCGCCCCCCCCCCCCCCCCCCCGCCCCCCCCCCCCCGCCCCCCCCCCCCCCCCCCCCCCCCCCCCCCCCCCCCCCCCCCCCCCCCCCCCCCCCCCCCCCCCCCCCCCCCCCCCCCCCCCCCCCCCCCCCCCCCCCCCCCCCCCCCCCCCCCCACCCCCCCCCCCCCCCCCCCCCCCCCCCCCCCCCCCCCCCCCCCCCCCCCCCCCCCCCCCCCCCCCCCCCCCCCCCCCCCCCCCCCCCCCCCCCCCCCCCCCCCCCCCCCCCCCCCCCCCCCCCCCCCCCCCCCCCCCCCCCCCCCCCACCCCCCGAACACAGAAGCAGACCAGACAGCCCAGACCCAGACCAGCCCCCCCCCCCCCAGAACCCCAGCCAGACCCAGAAACCCCCAGCCAAACCCCCAGACCCCCCCCCCCAGGAGAGAAGAAGAATTCAAAGAAAGAAAGGACAAAGGGAAGAAGAAAAAAGAGAACAGCAGACAACAAAGAAGAAGAAAGACAAGAGAAACACAAGGAAGAGAAGCAGAAGAAAGAAGATATAGAAGATAGACAGACAGAGCAGACAGACAGAAGAGACAGACAGACAGACAGAGACAGACAGAGAAGAGAGAGAGAGACAGATAGACAGACAGAGACAGATAGAGACAGACAGACAGAAGACTGACAGACAGACAGACAGACAGATAGAGAGACAGAAGACAGACAGACAGATAGAGACAGATAGACAGACAGAGACAGAAAGACAGACAGAGAGACAGAGAGAGAGAGAGATAGACAGATAGAGAGACAGAGAGACAGACAGAGAGAGAGAGAGAGACAGACAGAGAGAGAGAGAACTAAAGAGTGTGAAGCACCACAAAAAAACGTTCACTTACTTTGTGATGCTGAGTGCGTTGGATCTTTTTGTCACGATTGGTACCGAAACCAGTTGTGGGACGATTGGCCTATGACTAACGCAGTTGAGTGACGCTGGCAGATATTGTGGTGGAGTTGATGCATTGGGAGCAGGTGTTGGTGCATCAACAGCAGCTCAACTGGCTACAAGACCAGGCTGAGTGCCTTTACATGTCAAGGCTCACTGTGTGGCAGGCAGGATGTAGGACCCAAATGCAGGACTCATAAACGCAAGGGTGAGAACTAAAAGTGGCAGCTTTATTTCGGCTGTAAATGGTAAATGGCCTGCATTTGTATAGCGCTTTTCTAGTCCCTAAGGACCCCAAAGCGCTTCACACTACATTCAGTCATTCACCCATTCACACACACATTCACACACTGGTGATGGCAAGCTACATTGTAGCCACAGCTGCCCTGGGGCGCACTGACAGAGGCGAGGCTGCCGGACACTGGCGCCACCGGGCCCTCTGACCACCACCAGTAGGCAAACATGGGGTTAGTATCTTGCCCAAGGATATTTGGCATGCAGCCAGGAGGCAGCCTGGGATCAAACCACCGACCTTCTGATTAGTGGCTGACCTGCTCTGCCACCTGAGCTACAGCCACCCCCTGACTCTTTAAACATACAACAAACAAAGCCAAAAGCGAGGAACTAGAAATATGAACTAAAATCAAAGCACTATGACACTGGGAAGCTAAGGAACTAAACTGGGAAACAGAGCTAGAAAACTACTAGGAGAACACAGGAAAACATGCACCAATAGCGTGCGCCCTGCCCAGAATGTCAGCTGGTGAACCAGCCACCCTTTCCAAAAGCACCCTTGCACCCACTCCTGTTAATGGACGTCCCGTTTGAGCACACTGGTGCAAACCTCATCAGGCCATTTGTAATTCTAGGTGTTGGACCTAGCATTTTGAGTTTATTGTGTTTTTGTATTATAATGATGATGTAAGTTTCTCTAGTTCGTTTTGAGTTTATTCTTTCTATGTTTCTGAGTTTTCTTGTGTTCCCAGTTTAGTCTCTCGTCTGCTAGGTCCTTTTTGTGCCTCCTGTGAGAATCTGTCTTGTTGTCTGTGTTTACGTTTCTGTGCATATAGCTCCTCGCCCTCTGTGTGTCCAGTCGCTATGTTTTTGTCTCCTTTTTCTGTACACGGTGTTCCTCTCATTGTGCTTTATTCTTTGTCTCCCCCGTCTGTCATGTGCATCCACGTGTGTTCTCCCCAGCCCGTCTTGTCCCATATGTGCATTTCATGTTTTAGGTTCCTAGTGTTTAGTTTCCCCAGTTTAACTGTCTTGCTAGTTTAGTCCTATCTCCGCTCGTCTCTTGTTTGCGTTTTCGTGCAATCTATGAATAAAACGGCTCGGTTTTTGTGAAGTCCCAGTTTCACGCCTGTTGATTCTCTCCTTTTGGGTCCACCTCATCATCACTTCACACATTCTGCAGCCACATACCATGAAGCCATTTCACTGGAGTGCAGAGGGATATCACTTTGTATTAGTTCTGGTGGATTATGCAACAGGATAACCTGAAGCAATGCTGCTGTGCACCACTTTACCAAAGAGTGTCGTGTAGACACAGTTTCAGGTCATCTCCAGAGTCGGCATATCGAAAGAGATACTGACTGACCAGGACACTTCATTCATGTCTCGGACACTTAAGTTGTCAACCTGATTAAAGAAAACTGCAAAAAAGGTCCAAGCCCAACCAAGAAAAAAAAAAAAAAAAAAAAGATGTGTACGTTCCAACCCTCAGCGCAAAGCTACACACACTGGGGAGATTGTCACAGGTTTACAGAGTGGATGTTGCTGAACTGAAACTGCGTTTTGCAGAGGTGTCCCTTCTCCCTCCCCTCTGCCCAGTCGTACAACACTCACAAACCACCATTATGGAGCAAGGTCTATAGTGTTACAGGCTTGAAACGAAAACAGCTGGACTTTTTGGTTCATGAAGACATTTCATTTCATTTGGTGAACTGTCGGCCAATGTTGTTGGTCGGCCTACAAATGTTTTTAAAAGTATTTTAACTGCATGCGACTGCTTATAATTTCAAATAGCAAAGAGACAGTCACTGAGCTAAATCTACAGTAGAGGTCTTCTAACAATCAATCAATCTCAAGCTGGCAAAGTGAAAAATAAGCATAAAAACTGTACTTAGTTCATGGATGTCAACCTCCTCTTCACCCCTCTTGTTGGCTTTGTTGAAGAGTCGGATCCCAGTAACAATCATGGTGAGTTCTTTGAGCTGCTGCTCCTGGTCTCTCTTTAAGGCCACTCGAAAGTTTCCCAGTTCAGCCTGAGGGAAGACGCTCTGCAGGACAGCTATGGCAAAGGAAGAAGAGAAGTCAAACGTTAGACACACTGCATGTATAATCATTATTACCACCACCAGCATCATTCACTGCATAGCTAATTGTTACACTATATCAGTGTTTCCCAAACTTTTTTTTGCTGGGCCCCCCATTGTTTTACAAGAAAAATGTTCGGGCCCCCCCACCAACTAAACACCCAGCCCCCCGCACAAACGCATCCTCCAACCACACACACCCATATTTTGTTTTCAAACTCCATTGCGGTTTATTTCACACCTCAAACATTTAGTAAAATCAATAAAATTACAGGTAGTAAAATAACTACTAAACTCTTTTATGCTACGTCCACACTTAACACGGGTATTTTTGAAAACGCAGCTGTTTCGCGTTTGGCCTTTCGTCCACACGTAAACGGGTTTTCAATCACCGAAAACGGAGATTTTTTTAAAACTCCTATTTTGCGTTTACGTGTGGACGAGGAATACAGAGTTCGTCACGCAACGTCAAAGGTATGTGCCTTTTTTCACGTCACGCTGTGCGCCACGTTATTGTTTACATGAGATGAATTGCAGAATGGCAGATAGAGACAAAATACTGTTAATCTGACTATCTTCAGGTTTTACATGCTTACTATACACACGCAGTTACTGTCCCTCCATTTAGAAAGGCAGAGGCGTCACGGTGTAATTATTTTACGTGTAGTTGTTTTTTTCCTGTGTATAATATTCAACATTGCTATCAATACATTTTTCAAAAAATGCCTCTCTGTGCAAAATGGGTTTAAAAACATAAACAACTGTGGGATACTGTTTGTCCGTGATTTGAACGGGGAACAAATCGTGGCAGGATCAGCCTGATATTATTTGTATCCCACTGTAACTTTACTGTATAAAGAGCTAACATCTCCAAAATGTCAGGAGTAGTTATTTATTACAACAAGTGTTTGTGAACTAAAAATAAAGAATGTGGGATACTGTTTGTCCGTGATTTGGACAACCCAGCGCGTGCTGCCGATGCAAGGGAAACTAATTCTGTCGCAGAGACCTACCTCGGCACTTGTGCAGGTGAAGCCAAAGTGTCCAAGCTTTCTTTTTTTCTTTTTTTTTTATACCCCCCCGGGAACCTCTGCACCATATTATGTAAAATTGTTCATTTATTTTGTGAATAGAAGAGATTCCATTCAGAAAACTGCTGACAATTTGCTCCCTTTCAGAACCTGATCTTTCTAACTGGAAGTCTGATGTTACATAATATGAACAGACTTGTGGTTCATCAGAAATGTTTTGAAGTTCATAGTCAGCTCACAAGACATATGTTGGAGAATCACTGAGAATAGCAGAAAGGGCTGTCTGGATGATCTGGGGTTAGAATTAGTAGCACAGCCTTTGGTGTAACGTGGCATTACATTTTCAGTATGCAGACATGACATTGTAGTTGGAACAATGAAAAGTAGTATGAGACCTGTAGCCTCTTCCATAGTGTTGGTATCTGTAGGCGAACCCATAGCAGAGCGCAGCAGGATATAAGTGGTGATTTTCTGGTAAAGGCCATCCAATTCCTTCCTTGATTTCACCCTGTTGTCAGTGATCTCTCTGCACAGTGGACTCAGCTTGGACTCTTCTGACTGGTGGATATCCTCAAGAAACTCACCTACACAAACACACAAGGTCATCACCAAAAGTCATTGTGGCAAGGTTTTGCAGTGTGAAGTCTGTATGTGACTCAAATAGAGCACTGCAATAGCACAAACATGACTAAATAAACCCACATATGACAGCTTCAGATAATCAGCTTCTAAGCTGACCAACACACGTTTTAACTAGTCTGGAAATTTATCATTTAAGATCGGGGTTTATGACCTCTAGTGCCTCTGTTAAACAAGTTCAGCATGGCTATGCTGAACTTGTTTAACATATCCAGGCTTTCTATGCATTAGACAGCTCATCTAAACATAAAACCCAAGTTGGAGATAATGGGAAATACAGCAGTGGTTATCAATTGTTTGGACTCGTTGGTTGACACAAAAATGAACCAACTTAGCATAGCCTACTTTGATCTGTAAAGAACAAAAAATATATAATGGCAAAAAGCAACACTTTTGCTACAAATAGGACAAGACTGCAACAATGTGATGATTTTATTGATTGCAGCACTAGGTATGCCATTTATTTGTTACAAAGCAGCTGCACATGAAGACATGGAAAGCATTACGTCCTCTCCTTGCATACGTACTGAAAACCTACTGCTGAAAAAGATTGGTCTGTAAAAGCGAAGCTGTTGATTTACCTGTCAATCTACAGTCTCATCACTATGGTTACAAGCTCTGGGTAGGGCCTAAAAGAATGAGATTGCAGATACAGTGGGGCAAAAAAGTATTTAGTCAGCCACCGATTGTGCAAGTTCCCCCACCTAAAATGATGACAGAGGTCAGTAATTTGCACCAGAGGTACACTTCAACTGTGAGAGACAGAATGTGAAAAAAAAAATCCATGAATCCACATGGTAGGATTTGTAAAGAATTTATTCGTAAATCAGGGTGGAAAATAAGTATTTGGTCAATAACAAAAATACAACTCAATACTTTGTAACATAACCTTTGTTGGCAATAACAGAGGTCAAACGTTTACTATAGGTCTTTACCAGGTTTGCACACACAGTAGCTGGTATTTTGGCCCATTCCTCCATGCAGATCTTCTCGAGAGCAGTGATGTTTTGGGGCTGTCGCCGAGCAACACGGACTTTCAACTCCCGCCACAGATTTTCTATGGGGTTGAGGTCTGGAGACTGGCTAGGCCACTCCAGGACTTTCAAATGCTTCTTACGGAGCCACTCCTTTGTTGCCTGGGCGGTGTGTTTTGGATCATTGTCATGTTGGAAGACCCAGCCTCGTTTCATCTTCAAAGTTCTCACTGATGGAAGGAGGTTTTGGCTCAAAATCTCACGATACATGGCCCCATTCATTCTGTCCTTAACACGGATCAGTCGTCCTGTCCCCTTGGCAGAAAAACAGCCCCATAGCATGATGTTTCCACCCCCATGCTTCACAGTAGGTATGGTGTTCTTGGGATGCAACTCAGTATTCTTCTCCTCCAAACACGACGAGTTGAGTTTATACCAAAAAGTTCTACTTTGGTTTCATCTGACCACATGACATTCTCCCAATCCTCTGCTGTATCATCCATGTGCTCTCTGGCAAACTTCAGACGGGCCTGGACATGCACTGGCTTCAGCAGCGGAACACGTCTGGCACTGCGGGATTTGATTCCCTGCCGTTGTAGTGTGTTACTGATGGTGACCTTTGTTACTTTGGTCCCAGCTCTCTGCAGGTCATTCACCAGGTCCCCCCGTGTGGTTCTGGGATCTTTGCTCACCGTTCTCATGATCATTTTGACCCCACGGGATGAGATCTTGCGTGGAGCCCCAGATCGAGGGAGATTATCAGTGGTCTTGTATGTCTTCCATTTTCTGATGATTGCTCCCACAGTTGATTTTTTCACACCAAGCTGCTTGCCTATTGTAGATTCACTCTTCCCAGTCTGGTGCAGGTCTACAATACTTTTCCTGGTGTCCTTCGAAAGCTCTTTGGTCTTGGCCATGGCGGAGTTTGGAGTCTGACTGTTTGAGGCTGTGGACAGGTGTCTTTTATACAGATGATGAGTTCAAACAGGTGCCATTCATACAGGTAACGAGTGGGGGACAGAAAAGCTTCTTACAGAAGACGTTACAGGTCTGTGAGAGCCAGAGATTTTCCTTGTTTGAGGTGACCAAATACTTATTTTCCACCCTGATTTACGAATAAATTCTTTACAAATCCTACCATGTGAATTCATGGATTTTTTTTTCACATTCTGTCTCTCACAGTTGAAGT